AAAGGGGGGGGGGGCAGTTGTAACTGAGCCAGTAATACACCATAGGAATTTTTTAATTTTGTCTCTGTTAACAACACAGATCAAATAAATCAGACTTTTCATTGCATGTGCAAATCTGGCTTCAGAACCAAGACTTAGTGTTGACCTTAAAATTAAGCTAACTTGGAAAAAAGATACATTGTTCCTATCTCTGATAAAGTGATACACTGGTCACATGCAATTAGGAGTATGAGAAATATCATTGGTCATAAAGCTTTCTCATAATCAATCTTATTGGCTATGCATACTTTTCTTATGAGGAATCCAACTGGCCAGGCTTGCCTGTCCAGAAGAGCCACGAGTGCATTCATCCACCAGGCTCCTTGATCTAAAAAGTGACAACAAAATTAAAGACACAGCAATCTTTCATTCACTGAACAAAAGGAAGTCTTACCATAACCAGTCTTCATCTCAAGTGACTTAAAAACAGAATTATGGACAGGAAATTCTGTAAACAGTTTTGAATGTATACTATAACAAAGAGTGCCACATGTACTTCGGTGACTAAGGGAAAAGTGTTGAAAAAATGAAAGAATATTGTTTCATGTTACAGCGTGTAAGGGCTCATTCCCAACAACTGTTCTACGTTGATTGATCCAACTTCACAGGACTCTCATTGAATCCAATCATGTTAACAGATTTATATTTATACATCTCCTCCAGGCATTGAGAAGAATACAGAAAAGCTGGTGATTATTTTAGAAGCTTGGAAACAAGCGGACGTATGTTAATCTCATTATCTGGTTGCACTCAGCATGAATCCCCGCAGAGTTGGATCAATCTACTTAGAACAATAGTTTCACTGGAGAGAGCCCTAAAATTGTAGCACTCATTGTGCACCTTCAAACATGACAAACCCTTCACAAACCTCTCTCATCAATAGAGATAGTGAAACCATATGGTCTCTGTCCCGTAACTATGCCTGCAAAGCCCACATATGTTACTGCACTGTACACAGTCTGGAATGTCAAAATAAAATAAAATCATCACCAAAACAAAAAGATGCAAATTGAAAAACACAATACTGACAACTGTGTTAATAGAGTCAAAATGCCAAAGCCCTCATGGAAAATAATGTGAAAGCTGTTGGTTGCACAAGGTTTGCTACTTAATGGTTATGTAGTTGTACATGTACACATGGTATGGAATTAAGAACTCAATCATCCCCATGTTGGAAACTATGCTGTGGGCATACTGGTAATTTTCTGTTGGAAATATCTATCATTACCAGCCCTTGTCAAATTTCCACCACACACACATACACACACTAAAAGCTTAATTTCAGGTTTTTCATATTTTTCTAAGATCAATGAATCATCAAACCAATTAACCCCCAGAAAGAACAATAAATCTTTAGGCACCCACTGTAAGTAGCCTACCTTTCCTCCTTTCTGAAAATGAACTATAGCTGTAATATTCTTCAGCATTTCAGTGAAGCCGTACTTGCCACCATAGTCCAAATTCCTGGCATGCCATATCAGTCCATTCGTATCTTGGGCCACTATGCTGGTACAAAACCTGAAAATAAAATTGAGAAATATTATCTAAAGATGTTTCTCTTTTTGTACAATACTTGATACAAAAAGACAAACAAACAAAATAATTTTTATAAAATAATTTTTTTTTTCAAATGTGCCATTGTTTTGAATTTTAAAACTTGGCAAATCACTGCCACGATCTTTTTTTAAAATTTGTAATGGAACTCATTTCTACTCAAGTGAAACATTCAAATTAATAAATAAATGAATAAATAAATAAACAAATATATTTATTACTTAATAAACCATACTGAAAGAAAAAATGCACACAGGTGGATTTATAACACAAGTGCGCCTAAGACAGGGCTCTACTGCAGGGGACGTGGTATATATATAAATGGAAAAGATGACTTCTTACGCAGTGGCCTCATAAAAGAGATTGGCCATGACTATGCCTCCCACATCAGCACCACTAGCCTTGGCTATGCCTGGAACATAAATATATATATATATACATCATAGGGTTTGTCTTTTGTGATCACACTTTCTCTCTCTCTCTCTCTCTATCCACATGCACACGCCTTGCCCCCCCCCCCCCCACACACAATGCAAACACACACACACACACACACACACACACACACACACACAAACACACACACACACACACCAACTTACAAACCATCATTCACATATTCAACCAAGGAGGCACCTGCAGGCACAGTGCTCACTTGGTCTTGCAGTTTTTAATTTCACTGACAAAGGGTTTATTTTTTTCTTCATTGACAAGATTTGTTTGTGTCTTCATGGACTAGATATGAGTTTCACTTAAAAGTATTTTCTGATAAGGTTTCTATTTAATACATTGAAAATCATCTTGCCAAGTTCATAATAATCAAGTATTATACAGAGAAATAACATATACCATAAACTTTCCTTTAATCAAGCCAGTAATTACCATTATCTGATATTTCTGATTTTTACCATAATCTGATATAGTATATTTCACCATCATAATTTATTGTTTTGATAGCTCAACAAAGACTTGCTTTGAAGATACAAGAGCTGTTTAATTTTGCCAATGTTCATTAAGTGCATAATAATGTAGTCCTTCCCTGTTTTAATTGCATCAAAGGTTTGCTTTGATGATGCAAAGAACTGTGGTATGATGCACAATAATATCACCTCATAATGTGGCTTACATATATATAATGGCACAAAGGACAACTACTTACAGTGGGGGACAAAAATTAATGTGTGGTTGTTTTTTTAAAACTTCTATATGAAATATACAATAAAGTCTACTGCACAGGTCTAGAATAAGTAAATATTACTTTATGTAAGTAAATATATACTATTATTATTATCATCAACACCATGATCATTCTTCTTCTTATTATTACATTACAAAATGAAAATTATCATACATTTTTCATAGAGCTCACTCCCACTGAAAACAAACTATTGTTTTACATATATCTATCCAACTGTGCAGGGACTCTCGATAAATGCATTCAGATTGACAGATTTACATGCTTCCTCTTGTTTCTAACACACTTGTATATAATTACCAGGTTTTCTGTATTCTACTCAATTCCAGGAGGAGGCATGTGCATCTGTTAATCTGACTGAATTCAGCAGGAGTCCCCACAGAGTTGGATCAATCTACAAAGCACTAGTTCCACTGGGAATGAGCCCATAAAAGAGGATTTTTGGAAGTAAAATTGTTATTGGATAATGATACATATGTTGGATATGTCTAGTGTGACCTCCCACATAGCTGTGAGGATCAGAAAATGATGGGGCCGTAGCAATAGTCCGAAGGTTCAATAGTCCGAAGGTTCATTGGTCCGAATATTCACTACAGAACCTTCGGACCAATGAACCCTTGATTAAAAAATCGATGAAAATGTTACCACTTTTCGGACCAATGAACCTTCGGACCAATGAACCTTCGGACTATCAAGACGCCCCCAAAATGATAAATCACAAAAAAAGTAAAGCATCAGAAACAGTGTGGTGTTTGGAAATTACAAGTAGTCACTGCATGCATGTGGCATTACCTCTAATTTCCTGAGCAAAAGGTTCTGGCAGATACTTGTCCAGTTCCTGGGCCAGCTGGTCAACCAGTGGGTACACATCTTCTGGGATGACACGCCTTCAGAATAGAAATCAAAAATAAGGTACATTTTATCATTTTACTACAAATTATTGAATTAAATCAGGCATAAAACAAGAACATTTTAATTGGATTAGAAGCACTAGCCATTCCAATTTTTTAAAAGACAGTGATGGGGAGAGAGGGAGATATCCCCCCCCCTGCACTCCCCTACTCTCATAAATAAATATACATATTTACAATCTATAAATATATACAGTTAAGTATAGTTGCGGTTTCACTTTTGATTTCACTTTTGATTTCTTTCATAGCACTCAGAATGAATGCATGGTGTTTCTTTACTGCACATCCAAGTATAATTATAATCTGTGTACTGTATATTAGTGCCTGTAACTGCATGAGGTGTATATGTATCTGATATGTACATGTAGCAGCATTAACAACCTTGATAAATGGATAAAAACAAGGTTAATCACTGTCCACCTGTGTTATCAGATATGTCCCGATACTGGACCAAATCACCTGTCATCATATACCCAGTGCAAATGTATAGCAGATCTATAGATACACCAAAACCATGCTGTACATATACATTGTATTACCACGAGTACCTGTATTACTTAAAGTCTGTGCGGGTGTGTGTCGGGGGTGCGTTACACTGCCTATTCTTTTAACATTACATGTACTTTCACGCTGAATCCATATGGCACATACTTTCGTTTCTGATATTCAGGATTAAAAGCAAAAGTAGTCAGAACTAAACCTATAATAAATCACATGACATTGCGATATCATAATCATCTCTGCCTTAGGCTGTAGCTGAGCCTGACCTAAAAACAAAGTTCGTCACCTCGTAATCGTGTCAGCGATCTCTGCCAACTGGGGGAAATCTTTAACTATGTGCATCCATCTTTCCTCTGGTGGAAGATCCAAGTTGAGAGTGTAAACTTTTGGCTTTGTCGGGACGTCCGAAGAGACCAAAACTGTGACAAATACAATAAAAACACAGCAGTAAAGAGAGTGCGACAGACGTCCCATACTGGTCAGAGTGGAAGTCCCGAATTGGCCAGCCTCGTTTTAGAATCTAGGCCAATTATAAAATTTGTAGAATGTCTATTTTTAGTCATGACGATACAGCCTGTACAGTTGCACATGAACTACAGGCGCAAGACTCATGAACCGAAAAACACACAGAAATCGGCTTTAACATATCACTACCATAATGAAAAAAAAAAAAAAATAAATAATAATAATAATAATAAATAAATAAAAACGGAAAAAATCGGTTGAGAATTTTCAAACAAATTTAATAAATCACTGTTCAAGACATAGAAAACTTTCACCAGCATTAATTTATATATTTTATGTAAGATTTATCTGATATTGCATGGGTCCAAAAATAAATTATTTGAGTTGCATAATAAATACTGGTAAATTAAAAAATAAATAAATAAATAAATGACGACTGAATTGGTGATCTTTGACGATAAACATGAATTCCCAAATACTGAATTTGAAATTAGTGTGCATATTTTCTTGTATTCCTTTCATCTACATGTACATGTCTGGGCGAATGCGACAGGTGATCCTGAGGATACTTGAGCAAATGCCCTAATGCTTATTTGTGATCAATGACAAAAAAAAAAAAAAAAAAAAAGAACCGGATTGCACATACATGCTATCATTTTGCTTATTTTATTTGTGGGCACAGTTAACGACATCACCACAAAAATAACTATTTACGCGCAAATGGCAAAATGTTTATTCATTATCAAAAGAATTTTAAAGAATGAGAGCATCAATTGGATAAAATCAAATCAACAGATTCAATGTATGGCCAAAGGCCCAGGGACGTTTTGAGCACATTAAATATTAATGCAACGGATCTTTGTCCGACCAGGGAATTTTTTCACATATAATTCCTTGGTCCGACCAAGGTCGTAAATAGCTAGCCCTTGGTCCAACTAAATGAACCAGATTCAGCTATCTATGACTTGGTTGCTTGCTTGTTGCTTTAAGCCATCCATTCATCTCCTTATTCTTTCCTTTATTTACAATATGTTGATAAGCATTTATCTAGCTATTGTTCGATTCACTACTGGTTCAAAGTGAATTTAAAGCGGATGCGGTTATTTTTATGTCGAAAGGAAAAACTGGGTCCATGATTAATTTATTAAAAAGGTTGCCAATATACTACCCCAACATTCTTAATTAACTGAAAGTGCAAAAGAAAAATAAAAACGGACAAAGCAGTTGGCCCTCTGCTCCAACATTCTCTTGAGATTTAATAAAAATTAACTGAAAGTGCAAAAGAAAAAACGGAATCTGTCATTTCCGCATCTCACATAGCCCATGACCATGTACACGTACTTCATAAAACCTTTGCGTAAGATCAGCGAGATACATGTTTACAATTCCTTGGTATAATCTAGACGCGAACTCATTTAGTGATCAGCATGATATTCCTTTTTATAGTGACTTTCGTGTGAAGGCACAGTGCTATTCATACATATATTAATTATTATGGAGAGAGGCCCGTGTCTTTGTATAATCTTTTCCAGATCATGAAAGTTCTTCCAGGAAGCACAAGAAGTAGTCCTAACAATCTGCACAGGACGTGACACATATGTCTACCCTGAGAGTAAAGTTTACTTCGTTGTATCTTGGCTAGATGCATATTCAATCAGCTTTAATGAAAGGAGATAATCGATTAAGTTAATCCTACACGTTACCAACACGTGTAGCCAAAGGACAGTGCTCTGTTTATGGTGAACATGGAAACAATTTACAAATAAGCTGAATGTTTTACCTGCATGTATCATGCTCATAAATTTTCATTAGCTGTTGCTGAGTGTCGTCTTGGTGTATATTTACTTATTTAACTGTGCATATTCGCCAGTACGTACTAGTAGGCCTACATGCTTGTGCATCAGCCGCAAAAAAGATCTATTTATAATTTTATCTATGTAAACATCAGTCCCTGCACCCTGAACCTCAGGTCGATCGAAATTCAAAGTCGTACACGGTCGATCGTTGAAAGATGTGAAATAAGCCTATGATGGATGAAAAGATCAGTCTCATTTACCAGTAAAGGCGTGCAAGTGTTCATCGGAACATAGCTACATGTAAATTATTCACGACTCCTCGAAGGTTCATGCAATACCGAGTTCTAGTAAAAAAAAAAAAGAAAAAAAAAAAAAAAAAAACTTCCATCACCATCTGACTCTTAAGCGGTCTTGTGAGGATGAGTGAAATGAAACTTCATATCAGAACCCAAGGTGCAGATCACGGATTTCCGCGGGAAATGACTAATTAGCTCTGGTTTAAAGAGAGTGACCTAGACTAGCGTGAAGAGGGACGTAAGATAGATCTACCCAACTTTTGGCAAACTTCAGTCATTTCAGCACACGTACACTGTAGGAATAAAAATGATCACCCGAGGATTATTGAACTCAAAAATTGGAATCGTCAAATTAAACAGAACAAACAAAGAAATGTCATGTAATAACTAACAAATATAGCCTCATGCAGCAAGCATTTCTTTCTACCCCGGCCATTAGATTTATACGAAGTATGAAAACAGATGGTTCGCGACGATTAAGAACAAAAAAGGTAGAGGGCATTACAAACCAATTCAAAATGATGGTGTGTGAAACACTCCAATATTAAGTGTCGATAAGGGTGAATATCAAAACCCAGGCACGAGCAAACGCCCATCGTTATCTTTTAACATGCAAACCTATATTTGACATATTTCCAATTCAACTATTTTGAATCCTGAATTGTTATCGTGCCTGTAATGTCAAGTGTGACCTAGATTAGACATTGTGGCTTACATGTAGGGTATTTTGCTCTACGCTGTTCATTCATTCTCTCAAAAAGTCCCATTTGTGCACAGAGGGAAGTTTACGCACCATCTCAGAACAGAGGCCTCGATTGAGACGCCTGTTTCTCCATCGAATTTATAGTGAAAGTGAGGCTTGTAGCGTGAAACCACCGGGAAGTGCCCATCTTTTTTTTCTTAGTACATGTTGAATGTGATAGATCGAGAGAGATGCAAGGATACCTGAACAAGGGTAGTTATTAGAGTGTATATACTTATTCAGTCTGATCCTACAATATATGTAGCTGGCCCTAGAAGCAACGTAAAGCTGGACAGAGCGTCTAAACCTTGATTACCCGTCAGCTGCACATAGGCGACTGTTAGGCCCTATTGAACTCTTAACTTTGACAAAAATTTCCAGCCAATCGCCAACGGTGCCATGGAGAACAGCAATTCAACAGAGGAATCGGACTCTGAAAGTGATATGTCCTTTAAAGTGATCATGATAGGGAAGTATGGAGTAGGAAAAAGTTCATTATTCCGTCGGTTTATGAAGCAGGGTTATAGTGGAGCCATGACCAGGAAAGACACTATAGGAATGGATCACTACAAGCGAACGTTCATCATTGATGGACATGACATCAAGGTAGGTGTTGATTACGCCCTCGTTACTACAAATTACACGTAGTGATGACAGCGTCATTTCCCCTCCCTCTCTTTCTCTCTCTCTCCCTCTCTCTCTCACACACTAGCACACACACACACACACACACACACACAGAGAGAGAGAGAGAGAGAGAGAGAGGTGGGAGGGGGGCTCACACCCATCCAGCTGAGGCTGTATGTTTATGGCAGAGTAAGCAGAGTTAGCCCATGCTAGCTAGCACGCATAAATCTTGAGAGGAGTTTGGGGTGCAGATCCGGCATAAGTAATATTTTTTATCAACTTCATTCCAACAATTAGTCGAATATGTGACACATGTTAGATTCTTAAAGATTAAAGATTCTTAAAGACGTGAATCTATAGGCCTTGGCTGTAAGTCCCTGCCTCAGGCCCGTAGCCAGCAATTTCAAAAGGGGGGTTCTTTTTCTGAAAAAGTGGACCTTTTTTCATAAAAACTTCATGAACCTAGATCAAATTTTACCCAGAGTGGACATTTTCCCACCAAAAGGGGCGGTTCT